TTCAGGCCAGGCTGCTTTGCTTCCAAGTCCCTGGACTGCCCCTACACCGATGTCTCTGCAGGTGCTGCGTGGAGAGCTGCGGCGGCGCCAGTCCTACTTCCATGGAGCGTGCAGCCTGAGATTTGTCACCTTCGCGGATTTGATGCAAGATGGCTGAGTGTGGATCTTCTCCACGCTTTCCATCTGGGGGTTGGCAGGGACATCGCCTCATCGGCGTTTGTCGTCCTTTTGCGGACTGGCCAGTTTGCAGGCAACAACGCGCTTTGGCCGCAATCGTTGCAGACATGCGTGTTTTTTGGTTTGCCCTCGATCCATTGCGTCCGATAAATGTGCGTCCATTCTATATATTGCGGCCAGCATAGGCAAAAGAGCGCCTCGCGGAGGCCACCCGCTTGGTCCAGCAGCACGCACGCAACGTGTCAGGCCGGCCTCTCCCACGCAGGTGGAAACTCACTGCCCAAAGACTGTGCCTGCACACTGGCAAGTACGTGCACTTCACAGGCAAAGCTTGGCACCTGACTGTCTTCTTGCAGTTCTTGGTCCACTATGTGGGCCTTCCAGGTGTGCAGTGTGATGACCGGATCAAGATCGTGCTCTGGGCGGCCGACAACTTCGTGGCGCACTTACATGAGTGCCGCAGCCGCGGTGTGTGGCTCACCCAGTCGGAGGTGGAACAGGCTGTTCAGATTGGCAGCCTCTGGCAGCAGCAGCACCTCCTGCTCCATCAGGCCTACAGTAATTGGTGCAGCTTTAAGCTGTGGAATATTCGGCCAAAGTTTCATTTGCTGACGCATGTCATTGATGAGCTCCGGGTCACCGCAAAAAACCCGGTAGTCCACGCCACTTGGATGGACGAAGACTGGGTCAAGTCCCTGATGCTGCGCGCCCGCAAGGTGCATCGCCGCACCGCGCCTCGATCGATCCTCAGCCGATACCTGATCGGACTGCGGGCGATCTTTCGCGCGCGGCGACAGCCTTAGCTCATAGGCCGGCCGCGCTCACACCTGCCTAACGTTACTCAAATCTTATATGGCCTGGCTGCAGGTCCCCGATCGCGGGCCTTGTTGCATGCGTGAACTAAGAGGCCGGCCCTCACATGCCCGAGTGTGGATCCAGCGTTAACTGCCTCAGGCGTGTATATAGCCACGTGCCGGCAAGGCTCTCGGGCAATATTGCTTGCTGGCACACATCAGCTTAAGCTGCATGAGTCGCATGCCTTGCTGCAGGTGTCGGGATGGCGCCCTGCATCGCGCCACGCCGGGTGCCGCGCGCGGGCCGGGGCGCGCTATATGCTTCGATCGATCGCTCGGCGCTCTTGCGCACCGGCCAGGCGAGATCCTGGCTGGCTGGCTGGCCGATCACGCGCGGCCTGGGCTGCAGCATGGTTTTCGTATCGTCGTTCGCCGCTCGCTCGCGCCAGGTATGCTGGATATCGTGTCGGGCCGGGGCCTCGGCTCGATCGTCGCGCCGCTCGCTCGCGCCGGGCCAGGCGCGCGCCCACCCCGAGTGGCCAGGGCCGGGTGCATTCATTCGACGGTCGCTCTGATCGTGCCAGGTACCTGCGACACATGCTCGGCTCGCGGATCGATGAGGCGCCGATCGCTGCGTCTCGCTCGAATATCGATTTTATATATATATATATAGAGTATTAACATGTGCACATATATATATACATATATACCATGCCGCTCGCTCGTGCCAGGTACGTGCTGCACTGGCGCTACGCGCCGGGGCCCCAGCCGATCGGTCGTCGGTCGTCGCACGCTGTTCTATACATATATATATATACATTTTCTAATATTTGTGTGTACGCCCGTCCCCGATCGATTGCATTGGCCAGGCGGCATCGAAGCCAGCTCGCACATCGATGCAGGCGCCGGATGATCAAAGCAGCTCGATATCCTCATATATATATGCATGCTGCAGGATCGAGGCGCTGCGCTACATAGATTGTGAGCATATGCTGACGGCTGATTGCGAACGCGCGAACAAAAGGATCGCAAATGCATATCGGGTTTGATTTTTTTCTCTAAACTATGCCTCGGTTTCTGTGCAGCAGTTTTTGTGAAGATGTTTTCCCTATTATTTGGGCTCATGCGTACGATTTTGTCGAAACACAATATTATTCGGGTGCGCACGTTTTCGCCGAAACATATATGATTTTAGCCTTGGCCGGGCTGTGTCTTGCGCACTTCCTCGCATTTGCGTGCGGTATGTCATTCAAGGGGTGGTGAGCCAGCGCTCAGAGAGCTAAAAATGGGCTGGGGGTGATCAAGGTGATAGGGGTGATCAAGGTGATAGGGGGTTTTCAAGGTGATAGGGGGTTTTCAAGGTGATTTGCCATTTCGTGTTCTTCTTCCAGGTGATTGTCGTGTCTAGGTACATGTGTTATTCACATGGACGCATTGGTCGCATTTGGCTCTCCACGAGTTGACCTCAGTGGTTAGTTGCCTGATGCATTGATCGCTTCTATTATTCCTATTCCCAAGGTCTTCGACCTTAGCAACTAGGCGATGAATAACTGCACTTACGGAAGAGTCCACTTTCCCTCTTTCAAGGGCCGTGACAAGATCAGCAACCTCATTGGGTTGATCTTCACCCATAGGACTATGCCTTGATTCACGGTCCCGAGGAGTGGACAGATCAATCATGACTGGATTAGATCTCGGAGGAGTTCTGAAATCATCTTGCACGGCCGTTGATGGCCGTGGGAACTCACTCCGATTAGGAGATTGGCTCTGGTATGGCGCGGATCTCCTAGCATCACGAACCGCCGAGGGTTGTATCATGCCCAGGCCTTTGGCCACGGACAGTTTAGGAACAACAGGCCTATCAGTTCGCATAGGAACATCAGGTCTCGAGTCAGCAATAACAATGTCATTCAAATCAGTCGCATTGGACACTCTAGATTCCGACATCGATTCAATATCAGTTGCACTGGTGATGGTGTGATTGCGACTAGAACTTGATGCCATGATGGACTCGGACTCTATCGGAACATTAGCTCCGTCCATGTCGTCCATGGCGAAAAAGGAAGCCGCGTTGGGCTTAGGGCGAACACTTTGTGCATTCACGCCACTCGACCTATTAAATTCCTCCTGGAATGCTTCGATCCCATCAAGCACGTTAACGAGTGTTTCCGCGTTTAACGGGTCTCTTCCAATGATCGACGCTGGGTCACCTGATCGACCGCGTCCTGAGTCCCGCGTACTGGGGTTTCCCCTGTGGGCAGTTTCCCGATCCATCCCCCTTGCCCTATGCGATCCAGTCGAGTTTGACCTTGATCGTTTGCTTGGGGTTGGACTGGGATGCAAAAATCCAATCTATCTACAATGTTACGCTCCCTAGGGCTCTCAAATCCTGAAAGTCCTGGGGGAGGAGACATGTTCCTCATGGTCGGGTTTACCGACGGCCTTGGCCTGACGTTACGACTGGCCACATCAGGATTGAGATTCTCAATCGACAAAGGTAGCATGAATTCATCGCTTCCAGCAGCCCGTTTCGGGCTTTGGAATTGCGGGAAAGATGACGGGGCGGGTGGCCCTGGCATCCATGTGGTGAAATCCATACCAAAAATGTTTCCGTCGTTGGGCCATGAGGCTCTCCAATCTAGCCCACCGGATTCGGTTGGCAGATGAACGTCAAATGCAACTCCACTGGATGTACCAGGTTCGGGATTACCGAGCACTTGAAAAGCTATGCTACTGGTTGGCACAGGTCTACTACTGCCTCGGGAGTCATGAACCTCGGACTGAGCAATATTCATCAGCTCGGGGAAAGATGAGGATTGAGCTCCAGGTGCAATACCGGGCTCGTCATCATCACGTCCTGAGACGGAATCATCATGGTCAGGACGATTAGTCCCACGACCCTGAGAGCGATTAGCTCTTGAGGCGTTAGACGATAGATCATCGGTGCGAGTAGCACTGGATCTCCCCGAAGGCATTGCTTCTGAAAAAGTGTGGTCCGACAAAAAATCAGGACCGGAAAACATCGGCTGTCCGGGCACTTGGTCGTCATTCACAACGTCCAAGATTCCGGCCTGGCCGAGAACCCACTCATCGGTCACCACATGAGGTCCATCCTCGGTGATTCGGTGATTCCCGCCATGAGTCCTACAGTAGCCTATGGAAAACGGCGCCTGCAGGGTTGTTATTAAATGGGGTTCGCGGTGCCAACCGAGGACGAATCCTACGGCTGATAACCTGCGAAAGGGTTTGAAACAGTATTTCGGGAGAGAATAAACAGGCCCAATCCCACCAACAAGAAGAGATTGTTTAAACCCCCCAGTCCCAAGGGCAAAGTGGTGCCCTCGGCTGGCCAAACACGAACCAAAACAGGGCGCCAGTTGTAACAAGGTAAAGAAGCCCAGCAAGGGCAGAGACAAGCGAAAGCAAGCACAAAGCAGCAAACCAAGCAGGCAAACAATGCAGCGAAGCGAAGCGAGCAAGCAAAGCAAACCACTCCAACCAAAACCCGACCCACCTCCGGAAACAGGACCACCACCCCGGCAGCGACGGCTGCGGCACAGCGCAGCCGGCGCGTAGAGCGACGCGATCGTTTTCCGACGAAATGGCGAGAAACAGTCGACGAGTGTAAAAGCTTGAGCCAAACGGCGCATTGGCCGTGGCATGGAAACATGTTGCGATAAAACTATATGCCCCCAAAAACAAAATATATGCGTTCTATGTATATGTACTATACGATACATATTATGGAGGTTGATCAATAATCCTGGCCCAAAAATTGCCATGTTGTGGTGAAAGTATTATTTTTGGTGGTTTCTGAATGGTCACTCCATGTAAAGGGCCTTTTGAACAACCCTCATATGTTGCCCATCACGCTATATTATAGCGTGATGGGCAACTCACGCGGAGCCACCAGGGAAGCTTTGGGCAAAGTCGTCCTGACACCGTCGTTTAGCCCCAAAACCGAGCCCGTAGATGAAAGCCAAGGGGTCCAAACAGTTGCTTCCGAGAAACATGTCTGGGCCACCACGCGGGTGGTCCAACTTTTTGAGATAGTGCCTGGCGCAACTGCCCTGAGTCTGTGAGGTCCCTTCTGTACGGATCTGGGGTTGAGCAGCATTCTTTCTTATGGAAGGATGGAAGGCACGACGCTGTGCAAGGGTTGCCTTGGCAGAAATCCAGGACTGATGTGCTGTTTCGCGGTGCTTCCATAATAGGTTTCCCTGCATGTATGTGCACGTAGGCTTCAACGGCGTGAATGACAAAGAAAGACTAGTCTGTCTACCTGGCCAGAACACTTGCATTGACAACCTGCTGCACTGGGAAAAGCCTTTGAATGCCAGCTTGGATGGGTCATCCGAAATGATCGCCATTTCAAAAAAGAAGTAACAGGAACTATTGATTGTTACCCCTCCTGCGGTGACTCCTGAGTTGAAGTTTGCCCTCAACCGAGTGGCCAAATCAGACAACTCATGGCTCTCCCAGTTCCGCGGCAAGCGTACGTGACATGCATTCCCCGGCGTGCGCAGTTTTGCCACCGATGCCCACTCCTTGCGGCTTGGCCACTTCGGCAAAAAGACATGCGGGGCTTGGGCAACTGTTCCAAGCGCACAGCCGCCCAATCCCCACATCGGTGGCGGAGAAGCCTCGTTGTGACAAGAGATCCAGTGTGCGGAGAGACGCAGGAGCAGCACCCAGCTAAGGCTTTTAAGTCTTGGTCTCTTTGCCGCCCATGTGCCATCTTCACCCATGGCTGTAAGTTTGACAAGTCTTGGAACCCTGCCCCTGCTTGAAAATGGTAGAACTTCTCCAGCCGTTGCAAGACCCTGCGTCTGCCACCGCTTATTTCAAGGCAGGTGCCCAATTCTCCCACACGCCCCCGGGTCAGATACCTGAACGTCTCCGTGCCGAGGCTTGGAGCCGCCAGGATCCTCTCCCGAATGGGCTTTCAAACGTTGAGCTCCTGCCCGAAATTCAATCAGTGCAACCTCTGCAGGCACCTTTGACCAGTGAGGTGATGTCAAGTACTCAAAAGGATCAGTCGGTCGACAGTGGCGTGGTGCGTCTGTCAACCGTGCATTGGCAAACAGGAACCATGAATTAGTGTCATAACGACACCGCATGCAGACTTGCTGCGCTGCAGCCAAGAGTTACCAGTTGGCCGCGTTTGCCGAATGGTCAGCCCTCCCACTGCCATCGTTCTCTGTCAGGTGTGCCGTTTTCGGAGGGACATATGTTTTGGGAAAGGAACATCCACTTCGGGGAGGGATCCCCTAAAAATTGGACATACCTACTCCAGGAAACACAGAAGTTCGGCGCAGCTAAGTCGCAACGAGGCGAGCTCCGGGCATTTGCCCAGATCCCATGCCTTTCGCTCGGGTAAATCGGCTCACTCCCTTGCCATTTGCTCCGCATCCACCGTCTTCTTGGAGGCCGACTCCGGAGGCTGCGACCTATGCGGGGGCGCGAGACCCAACGCCCAAATCGGATGACGGCAATGAGAGCTGGAAGACGGACAGGATGCTATTACCCGGGAAAGTTGCCTTCTTGAAGTGGGACTATTGAAATCGCGCTAAAGAGGGGAACTTGTTTTCTTGGGCATGCATTTTGGCATCTGGACCTGATGTATGAGGGTTGCTTTGAGCACTGGTGTATGTTCTTTCAGGTTTATGCCTTGTCCCCTGCATCATGCAGCAGCCGCCAACTGAAAAACATAATCCTCCAAGGGATGGACCACCAAACATTTGGGCTCGCCATGCTCCTCAAACCCAGGCAAAACATCTCACCTCTGAAAACCATTGGAACCATCTGCGTCAGCCGAACTTCCACTTCTCTCCGAGAGGCTTGTCCAGCCACGGTGCCAACTGGGAGGGCACAAAGCCGTCATCGCCCATCTCTGCGATGTTCATCTCCTGCCCGTTGAAAGGACCGAAACTGGATCGGGTCTTTAGAGCAGGAAAACACCACCAGGCTTGGCTCCCATGACCTCACTCGAAGTTTCGGGAAAGATCCCTTCACAACGGGCGATCGGAGATGAAGCTACAGAATTCATGGAAGTCGTCAAGGCTGCTGGTCGTCATGTTTCATGCACCGCGGGCAACGCGTTACGGAGTGCCACCCTCTGGTTGATGGATCTGCAGTGACTGCTTGCCAATTTGAATGGGTTTGTTCATGGATGGTTGACACACCTTCCACTGCAAGCTGAGGTTACCCTGCTGACTGGGCCATCATCCCGTGTCAGTCAGCTTCTGTCCGCCGTGCTGCGCCTCGCAGCACAGGAAGCACTGCAGGGTCGTGTCCACGGCCAGCTCAAAGATGCTGGTGAAGAGCCGCGCCACCACGTAACCTCAGCTGGTCCAGTGCACGCCTTGCCAGCTGGACCCGGTGAGGCGGGTGTCTTTTCCGCATTGACGACAAGGAGCTCAGCATGAAGTAGATGATCATCGGCACCGCTGGCGCCATCTTCGGGTGCAGGCCCTGGCGTGAACGCTCCATGCCCTCTGCCACCAGGGCCGCCAAAAAGCACCCTTCCCAGAACTCTGGAATCTTGCCGGCTAGACCGAGAGGATGAAATACCCCACAATGGTAGTGGCTGCCACCTGAAGAGGCACCCAGCATCCTTTCTTCTCATCCACACTCGCCCAACATCGTCATACGCTGTTGTAACCCTTCTGAATCACACCTGAATGTCAGAAGAAACTGCCGACCAACAAGTTTGGCTGGCATGGAATCTTATGGCTATGGCCAAGATCAAAAAGCAGCTCCTATACTTTTGTTGTGTCTGCATGCCTGTGCTTAGAGCAAGCTGCAATATGAATATCGGAAAAAGTTCGAGGAATACCCTGGCACAAAATGTGTCAGGAAACCAACGGCGCGTTTGCACAACTCACAGCATCCAACATTCTCTCTTCGTCTGCTTGCGCCGTCTGGCTACTGGTTATCACAGGGTGACTCCACAAAATGAAAATCGAGGCGCGATGAAGAGAATGCCAATCATGTGGATCATGCCTCGGTGTCGCAAGGCATGCAGGACAAGATTGGGCAATCTGCTCTTGTTAACTCAGCAAACCAAGAGGGTGCCAACCCAACACATCTAAGCGAACCTCCGGCCACTTCGCTGCTTGCATGCCACACCACAAAATGCATCGGCATTTGCCCAAGGACCTTTGCTCAATCATGTCCCATGCATGCATGAAGCAATCAATACTGAAAAGCAAAGCATCACAAGACCGTGTCCCATGCCGAACTCCAGAGCATCAAACTGAAAACCCACTGAAAAGCACTGGACCCAACATGTAGCAGACAGCAAGATTACTTGGCCTACAGCATCCACAACGTTCGGCATGTGGAAGCTGGCGCACGATGGGTATTGTTAAAAAGACGCGGAAAGGCACGCTTTTACAACTGCGCTTGACTAGACTTACCCCCAGGGTACCCTTTCCATGAATCGAAATGAAAAGATGCGTTTCCTGCGAGAATGCCATATGGTGCGGTTTCCATTGGCCATAGCCTGAGCTACAGCTTTTGGCCCCCATTGGCACAGCAGAAGCCATCGATCGGTCTTGGCGAATCGGCGTCTCGCTTCTCCTCCTGCAGATTTGCCGCAGCCCAAACCGAACGGAACCCCAAAACCCGCCGTCAGCCAAATCAGCCCCGTGGCTGCCAAGGATGGCCACTGTGCCGAAGCGCAGGACGTTCCTGCCAGAAACGAAGGAAAGTGTCGGGGCGCAAGCGTGCAGCAATGACCCATCTATCCTCTACTTTTATGTACAGCACTCTGTATACCTCCACTGGAGCCACGGTCAAGATTGCTCGTTTGTCATTTTTGTGAGTCCCCTGTCGTTTCTCAGGTTTCAGTATGGGTGGGTATACAAACAAGCAGGCAGGCAGGTAAGCAGACAAGCAGGAAAACAAACAAACAAACAAACAAACAAAGCAAACAAGCTTTGACTCGTCTGTCAACCTGTATATATATATATATATTTGTAATATTATTAATGTCTGCCATGCATCGACACAGAATGCAACAGCATGAAAAACCAACAAGGACACCCATCCGCGCGCCTCATGATCAGAAAGAAGGCCTTCTTGGCTGATGTGCAGAAGTTCGTGCCCATCAAGGCAATCCTCCGAATGGGTGACATGTTTTTCCTTCGAAAGACCACCACCTGGCAACGGGCTCTAATGTTGGGACCTGCCGGACACAACCCGAAACTGAGTTCCTACCTGACAAAAAGGCTGCCGAGATGCTGGATGTACGCATTCTTGTTGAGGAACTTCACCTGGACAAAACGCAGCACAGCTTTGAGGGTCAGCACTCGGCCAAGTTCGCAGGGTGTGCCTACAGTTTCAGATGGTGGCCCCAATGAGTTTCGGGTGCCTGCAGTAGAAGTGGAGCTATGCCTGGAAAAGCTCTTGTCTCATGAGGCAACCAACTGAGGACACGTACATCTCCCAACACATTGTGCACTAGTAGCACATATCTGGGGCTCGTCAAGTGTAGTTGCATGAGATAGCCGCAGTTACAGCTTTCCAGAATCCAATAAGGCTTATCTCATTTATGATTTGCCGGCTAGCTCGTACGTGCCTTGTAATCAAGGAACCTCATGTATCACACAAAAACATGCAACAACTTGAGTCGCACCAGTGAACAACATCACAGCGCCCTTTGTGTTCAGGGCCGAAAGGCCTGACAAAAAAATGGAAGCTATTGAGAGCTGAGGCGAGCACGCACTTCTCGAAGCACCAAATGACGCACTGCAGACATCTGAGGATCATAACCTGACCGCGGGGCCGTGCGCTGCCTAGTTGACTCTTTGCCGTTTCTGCTCCGCTTAATTTCCTTGGAGTCCCTGGCGGGCATTTGGGTTCCGATATCCACTCACTGCCAAGGTTGCGGAAACGCTGCGCCCTGGAAATGCGCCCCGACATTCGGGCAGGCCAATCTCGGAGCCCAAGCATGCGGAACTGGCCGGGCCCCTGGCCAGGATTCTGTTCTTCTGCGCCTGCGCTTGCTTCTCATAATACTTCATCATGTACCTGGCCAGGGCGCTTGCTTC